CTGACACCATGGTGCGTTACCTTGAAGACTTTGCTTCCACGTTGGCAATCCGAGTTCAGTACAACACCGCCATCATCCATGTGAGACTGGAGAAGGACTCGCAGTCATGGAATGGCCATTACTTCATTCTCACAGACCATAACAGCCAGAACTACAGATGCAGGTAACCAGCAAAGTAGGCTTGGCCAGCTACGTAACTTTTCACAAGCCTAGTACATAGCTGCCTGTTGGGTTATAGGTGATGCCAAATAATTATTGGAAAGTGAGCAACATGACACTTGATTGAGCAACATCACGCTGAACCAGTTTAAAGTGCTGAGAAGTGTTATTTCTATTCTCATATGAAAGGCATTTCATTAAAGCAACCATTTTAGCATAAAACCATGAAAGTTTTGAGTCTGAGATGATCTGATTCTAAATGCTATTATGTGTTTCCAGATGTTCTTTAGGAGCCCGAAACTGGACCAGCAAGTCAGGATTGAGGTGCATTATGTGGTGGATGGATTTGGGGCAGAAATGGAGTAACATGGTGCTAGAAATTAGGAACGAGGGGCTGTCAGAGAGTTGTGAAGACCGTTCAGAACTGGAACAGCAGACAGTGCTGCCAGTTGGGATTATCTGATATTCCTTTCTACCTCTTAGATGTTGCCCTAAATTAAATAACAGCTGGAACAGAGGGCCTGTTAGATGATTCTGCATGTTTTATTAACATCTTGAGCAGTGGTTCCCAAACTTTTTGGCATCATGCCCCCTTTTTGATTTTTGAGAGACCCTCGCGCCACCTCCCCCCAAAAAATAGCAGCAAAACTTGTTGAGCCCCCCCCCCCCAAAAAAGTAATTGTCCTTCCCCCCCCAGAATTTCTTCTTGCCTCCCCAGGGGGATACACACCCCAGTTTGGGAACCCATGATCTAGAGGTTAAACATCTCTAGTCTAGCACCCTCAGGACCTGACCAGTGCTGAACCAGAAACTTGCTGTACCATGGGTGATCAGTGTTATCTAGCAGAATTACCAACACTGTCACTGCTTACTAGACTCTTAGAAGAGGTCAGTGTTACCTAGCAGAATTACCAGCACTGTCACTGCTTACTAGACTCTTAGAAGACATTTAGGGGTAAATAGAGCTAAATAACAGCACAGAACACTGAGAGCCAGGACTGGTGGCTGTAAGCAAACTTTATGGGACTATAGGAAACTTGGCCACACTCGTGATAAGTGGACATCCAGCTAACTAAAATCATGCCAGGCCACAGATGTCACTGGAGAA